AAAAAAAAAAAAAAAAAAAAGCTTTCCAAAATTAAAAATTCTTCATTTAATTTATTTTTATTAATTTATTTATTTATTTTTGGGATAATTTTCATAGGTTTGGACATGTTTTCAAGTCACACATATTGGGAAGTCCCACAATTATCTCAATGGAGGCAGAGCTAAACAGATACATTTTGCTAAATGAATCAAAGGGATTAGTCCCAGGTTATCCAAAATCCATGCTTGAAATTTTAGGCAAAAGGAATATAGCTGCTGTTACCGGCTCGAATCACCGGCACATTCGAAACAACATGTTGTCCTTAATCGGGACACATTCGATCAGAGACCGTCTTTTTTCGATGATCGATAAGTACACCAGAGTTCACTTGTCCAAATGGGTTGGTTTGAATGTTGATGTTCAAGAGAAAACAATGGATGTAAGTATATTCTTTTCACTTTTCTGGGTCTTTTTTGTGATTAGATGAAACTTCAGGGGTATTTTTATTATTTTTTTTTCCTTGCAGATGGTTTTCTTTGTGGCCTTAAAGCAGATAGCAGAAGCTGAATCAGAGGAATTGTACAAGAGGTTTAAGATTGAGTTTGATAAATTGCTCATAGGGTCACTTTCTTTGCCTATTTACGTACCCGGCACGAATTACTATCGAGGATTTAAGGTAATTCGAAATGTCTCATAATGATCAAGTTATTATTATTATTAGATATAAAGATGTACATTTGGGGCTTTGTTCATTTAGTTTATCTGTAATTACTATATTTGTTGTGTAAAAAAACTATATTTGTGTGCAGGGCAGGGAAAATATAGTCAAGATTTTGATAGAATTGATCGAAAAAAGAAGGGTCTCCCGAGCAAATAATCACGATGACTTGCTAGGACTTTTGTTACGTGAAATGGACTTGAAAAACGCGTTAAACGAAGCAGAAATTATCGATCAGATAATCACGATATTGTACTCGGGTAGCGAAACTGTATCCACAACTTTGATGATGGTTGTCAAGTATTTGCATGATCATCAAGAAGCTCTACAAGAACTAAGGGTTAAGATTATTAAGAAAAATACATTCTATTTTTTTTATCTAACTTTTATTTAAAAAAAAATATTTTAAGAATTAAAAATCTAATATATGTTTGTCATCAGGACGAACATTTTTCGATCCGAAAAGGGAAAAATTACGAGCACCCACTCGATTGGGACGATTACAAATCGATGAGGTTTACGCGTGCTGTAAGCTAGTTACCAATGCACATTACCTATGATTTTTCTGAAAAAATAAAAAAATAAAAAATATTACTATTATAATTACTAATATAATTTATTAATTTATTTTATAATTTATGTATTTGTTTTGCATAGGTGGTTTTTGAGACAATGAGGTTGGCTACTGTGGTCAATGGGGTACTGAGGAAGACAACAACAGATATGAAATTGAATGGTAA